GGTGCGCCATAGGACCTGAAGGCTCCTGCCGGTGGCTGGCAGTACCGTCTCCGGGCTCCCATCCTGCTCCAGTGGTGGGGCCCAGGGGCTGGCTTGGCGCACCGCATTTGACGTTCACCTCAGCTGTCCTCGAAAGCTATAGGGCACATCCTGGAAACATTCTGGCTCAGCTCACACGCAGAATGATAGTGGACTTGCCACCCAGTGATCCAGTCTGACATCTCGCTGGGCCTTAAGCCGAAGGGATGACTCAAGAGCACCTTGGGCTTGGCAAAACTGAGCCAATTCTGCCCGTCCAGCCCACTGAACTGAGGCTCTCTTGTGTAAGCCGAAGCAGGAATTGGGAGGTAACTCGTAAATGAGGTCACAGAGAGCAGAAGTGACAGGACCCCTAGAGAACAACGCAAAACCCACAGCCAAACACCTTGCAAACAGCAACACCATCTAACTATTCCCTGCCGATTAGAAAAAACAAAGAGAAAGGAACGTTTTCATAGATAGTTTCTTGGCACTCTTTGCCTCAGATCAATGGCTAAAAAGTGATACCTAGAGCACTGCAAGCAGAAGCACAAACAAGAGCATTTTATCCTTGGGCTGCGGTCGCTTGAGTGCTCGCTGAGGAAGCCACGAGCAATACAAAGAACTGTTGTGCAAACCAGTTACTGCAGCCAGTACCTAGAAATTTTTGAACAGTTCCCGCTAGCTTTTTTAGTGGGCTCAGCTGGGTTTGCTTTAGGTGAAAGTGCTACCATCTGCTACAATTATATAATTAACCTTCATAGTTCAGGCCTAATGATGCTCATTAAGGTTGAGTGGTTTTATTGGCTGAGTGCTGTCACCAGTTTTGCATGGAACAGCGAAGGCAACGCTAAGGGCTGTAGTTTGAAGCATAATTAGCAGTATGTGAGCGTTACACAGGGGCATGGGTGAGGGAAGGCTGAGGACTACGTGGGAGCTTCATTTTATTCTATGCTGAGGCTGGAATGCAAGGAACGGGAGAGGTCTGTTGCATCTGGGTCACTAACGACAATCAGCCACAGAGGTGCCAGCAAATTTGGAATATATGCGTGTCAGGACATCACGAGATCCCTGTCATCCACTGTTGGCTGTGTGACTTCCATGTCCTCAGTGAGACCTCCTCTGACCCCAATTCCCAATATTTCTTCATTTATTCTATCATTAGTTAATGAGTGTATTTTTGCTGCAGGCCTTTCTTAAACAGTTAAGAAAAAAAAAAAAGCAGCAAATAAAGTATTTCATTGAAGAAAATGCCCAGGCTGAAAAACTACGTGGCTTAATCTGTGCGTGTAAGACTCCTAAAAGATTAGGTTGTGATGCCATAAAAATATGTAACCACTGTTCATACTACATTTAACTACAGCCATTCTCTGACTAGATTTGCCCAAGAGGAATGTTCCCCCATCGTTTTCCGTGAGCTACCTCCCGTACTCTAAAAGGTCAGACTCAACACCTCAAATACACATAGAAATAATCTGCATCACAAGGTATGTTACAATCTTCCATAACCCAACAATTTATTTAAACTTACATCACAATGAGAATCTATTAATAAAATACATCAGTTCACACCAGTCTGCATTGCCATTTTTTAAGGGTAAGCATCTTTCTTCACTTTATATTAAAACTTTATAGAGGTAAAAACTACTGCATTGTACCCGCAGTTCTTGAAATCTATTGTAACACTAGGCAGGTTACAGAGGAACTTTCAGAGCTAATTACACTTCAGTTAACCTCACATTTTTGGCACATCTGAATGCTTTTTATTTTCTTCTTAACATAAAATAATTCTATAGCAAGTCAGAGAATCATTGACATAAAGCATCACTATCCAATGGCAAGTGCTGCCTAAAAGCATACAAAAATTGCATCATTTGGTTACAAAATAGATATTCTTAGTTCCTTATCCCAACGCTTAACATTGAAGTGCCGTGACAGAAAAGGGCCAGGAACAGGGCCAGCCTTGCTGAGTTGTTGCTGGTCACTTTGCTGCAAGGCTTTGCCTCAATAAATCCCAGAGTGATGTGTGAACAAGATGTTGATGGCTTTTGCCTTGCCAGTCAAGGTCATTCCTTTTAAAGCACCCTCCAGCCGGTGCGAGGCCACGAGTAAACATCACCTCCTTCCTCGTACGTGTTGCTGCTCAAGGGACAAAGCGAACAGAGTTTTGGGGTGGTGTTGAAGAAGGGCCGTGTTTCGGGCCTTGGCAGTTCAGTGGCTACAAACGGTGCACGGAGGGCTTGTAAGCCACTGCTCAGATGATTTCTTCTGCCTGGCACCATAGCAGCTGCTTCTTTAGAAATTAAAGTGTTTTAAGTAGCAATGAAAAATTAATGGTAGTGGTCTGCCAGGCACATATTTGCACAAGCGTCTGCAGTTACTTGCATGGATTTTTAAAACCTGTAGGTTGTGGGTTTGGGTGATTTGTGTTGTACACCACAAACTCCAGCTGCGATGAGCTTCTGACGTTATATTCAAAATAAAAAGCAGCCCATAGTACTTGCCACCAGGGTTAGTTTTTCCCTGGCTCTTGAGCTGTACTGTTTCAGTCAGAGTTTGGCACATTAACTAGTGATTGTTTTATGTTTCAGTGATGGCAGGCTCCACATACTGATACTTATTTTGCGAGATGCCTATTATGTTGGTTGTGTCCCTTCTGCTCAAGTTGCTCCGGTAGTAACAAAGACATACGAATGAACCGCTGCAGTTGAGGAGAGATGACGTAGCAGAAGAACGCTAAGCATATTAGAGCCTTCTGGTTGCATGATAGCTAGATGGTCACTTTTCCTTAATGGGAAATAAACATTTATACTTGTCATGGCAGGGTTGCGTTCTGTGCATCTTTCCAAAGCCCCAGTCAAACAAAAGCCCCGTTTACTTGATTCAACTTTCCTACTCATCCTTTGCTGAAGCCCCTGATCTGAAATCTTTTTGGTGAGACCAGTGAGCATTCCCAAAAGGAGCTTACGGCTGCTAGGAACTATCTCTGACTTCACCTCTCGCAGAGAAAGAGAAATTGAGGAAAAGACCATAATACTTAGAAATTACACGGATAATGGAACAGTTGTTGATGGGGATGTTTGAAACTTACAGCGAGAGAAACTTCACGGGATCCATGGTACTCTTTGCATGTACTTACTGACCCCGAAAGGTAGCGCTGCCAAAAACCCTCCAAAAATCAAACTCACTCCCGGAGTCAATTTTTGCCTCACATTCACAGTGAGAATTTATCCCTGCATTGATTTCCATTTCCTATTCAGCATTTGCTCCGAACACAGCTAAAGTTAATGGGAGTCCTTCGGGAGACACAAGTGCAGGATATGAAGCCGTGCAGATGGAAAAGCTTTGGCTGAACTGGTCAATCTGCACCAAGTGCGAGAACAGGACGGGATGGAGCTGTGATGTCTCCCCTTGTGCAGACAAGAGAGCGCTGCTGAGGGGGACAAACGTCGGCCGAATACCTTCATGTGGATATAGTGCAACTTCTGCTCGTTTCAAAAGCCGTGGAAAAGTAGCCAACTGCTCGGTACCAGCGTGTGGATGAACAGGCAGCTACAGCCCAGCTTACACCCATGGCTCAAGTGACAGTGGGAGTAAAAGCCATTACGTTGCAGGTACGTTCTAGCACCTTCAATATTTTCATGCTCTTTACAACTTTTGCAAGTTAAAGTGTCAAGGTGTGGCAAACTATGTAGCAGTGCATTCCTTATATTTCATATACAAAAAAGGGCTCAAGGCTGGGACAAAGAAGGCACAAACGTGGGAAATAACATAGCTGAGGAGTTTACACAAAAGTACTGTGTCATTTATTAGGCATTACTTAGCACTTATTTCACATTTTGCCCCAAATTTCCCAAAGCAACATATATTTCCCCACTTCCTTTCCCTTCGTCCCCTTCTTTTGGATAAAGCTGCCTGTGCTCTATAGATACAGTTGCTGAAGAATATAATGTGAACACAGATAAATACAACATACACAGCAAAGAATGTATTATAGTATTACAATAGTCAAATAATGTAGTTAGCCTCAAGCTACAGCAGTGCCTACGTGCTATAGGGAACCAGTTCAAGAACAGCAAGCAGAGCCACTGTACAGAAACAAAACGGCGTCGGCAGTGTTAGGCAGAGCGAGGGACCGAGGGGGAGGCTTTCTCAGGGCGCCCGAGCAGGCGAGGTGGCTGTCAGTCATGGGGATCCGCTCTCTTAGGAGACCCACCCAGAGCCTCGGAGATTTCTTCAGCTCGGATCAGTTCTGTGGCAGGTCCTTGGAACACCTTTACATTTGTTCATTGTGCATACATATAAAGTCACCCCCACATTTCTCCTGTCAGGCTATGTTTTCTTTATATATTTTTTTTTCACTTTTAACTTTTGAATTTTTTTTTCTTACAACTGTTAAAAAAGTTTCATGGTAAAAATAACTCACTATATGATACATATACCCAAAGTTGGTGTGATACTTTATATAATAAAAGATGAAAATAGTCACTTTCCATAATAAAAATAAGTTCTATTTTTTGTTTATTTTACAATATACTTAATAATTCTTTTCTTCTTCTTCACTCTGAAAGTAAATAGGTCCCGTTTTGATAGCGCTTCTGAGTCGATTAAAGTGGCAAGAGACTGGAGAATGGCTTATAAGCATTTTGAGCAGCCGCATTCCACATGTCTCTCCAGTTCTTCCGTGAAGGTGGAGCCATCCACGCACTGGAAGAAGTATTTCCGCCTTTTGCTCCGGAGAGGGACGCAGCACTGCCCGTTGCCGCAGCCGCCGCGGCATTCCAGGCGGGGTACTTTGGAGGCAGTGGCACACGACGTGTAGCCCTGCTGCTTACGGACTACTTCTCGAATTATCTCTCCTTGGCAGAGATTCTCTGGCAAGACAACAGAGATGTAAAGGAAAAAAAAAATGTGGTAACTATTTTTCCAGATATTTCCCAAACATCAGCAGACAGCCCTGTACATGTAATGATATTCAAGGCAAACAGATGGCATGAGCAGGACCTTAATCTTTTACTGCTTTGTACCTGCCATCAAAACAGAGCTTGTGTTACACAAATGTGTAATATCCGGCACAAGGCAGAGGCCAAGCAGGCCTGCTGGCTTTGATCAGCAGTTCTGGAAGTGCTTTAATGAATGCTGAGTGTTGAATCCTGCAACACTCCTGCAAAATATGAATTAGTTTTACTATGTCTACTTCTTGGGATCAAAGGTCAGCCTGCTCTGCATGACATTAGCAATCTGGGAGACCTGAAAATGTCTGTGCCGTTCTGCAGTCACTTTGCAGCAGCCAGATACATTTTGGTGGGGCTGTGTATGTGTATAATTTGGAAAGTGTGTGGTTCATTCACAGGAAAGGCACAACCTAAATAAAAATAATACAAGCCAGCTCCTTCCTTCTGTACAGGAACAAAAAAAGGCAGAAGGGGTGAAGATAGAACTCAGTGAGTTTCCAGTGAGTCTTTTCAGGTCAGGGCAAAAGAGTTGGGCGCCAGCCCCTGTAGGAAAGTCCAGCGTGATCTGTGGGATTCCCCAGGAAACCCGCCCAGCGGCATCAAAGGGAGCAGGCTGGGAATCCGTACTGCCACTTCAGATGAGCAGTACCTCCTGCCTTCCAGTTCCTGCTCACGTCATCTACAAAAGCCCCTGGTACGCAGGGTAGGACCTCCTTTCCCAGCACTGCAACTAACCGGTCACTATTTGCGGAGGGTAAACCGCACAACCCATTAAACAACCCATGTGTACAACCGCACATTAAACATCCCACCAGAATCCTGGGAGCGGCAAACCTTGAGGATTCAGGAGACAGAGAATAAAGCCCTTCGCTACAGATGTCCCCCTTTCCGTATGTTTGGATAGTAGCTAGCTAGCTAGCTGTTGTGTGATTCTTTTCTCCTCCCTGTATTGCTCTGCAGTGTCTGACTTAGCTTTATCTTCTACTATTGGCCATTTACCCCCAAATACGAGTCACATGGAAGAGAGGTAAAAACAAAAATGCAGCAGACCAGTTTCTGGGCCCTGCGGCCAAGCGTACCTCTGTCACAATGTTCTCCACTATAGTTAGGATCGCATTCGCAGTAGGGTTCCCCATGCTCGGAAGTTTTACACTGCCCGTGGTTGCATTTCAAAATCCTGCAGGGATTTGAGGAATTGTTCTTCCTGTCACAGTACATGCCCGTGTAGCCTTCCATGCACTTACAGGTGTAAGCAACATTGGCCACCATGCACTTACCATGCAGACACCTGGAGAAAGAGAAGCATTTAGAGCTGGCCTGTGTTAGATGTGAAAGTTCCTTTTCCCAGGGATGTTTGGTTTTGGCATTTCTGCCCGTTTAATTCCAGGATACTAATCCAAAAACAGCAGTTCAGTGTCAAACACTCTGAAGAAACTGTGAGTTTTCAGTGAATACTGGATAACGTTCAGAGAATACATTTAGAATTTGTGATCCTAAGTGATGTCTTTGAAAAACATTAGGCTCCTTCACGAGCATGGACCAACACTTGGCATCCACACAAGACAGCTCACATTTACAGCATCAGCATGTAGAACTAAGTGCCAACAATCAAGCTGCATGCCCAGGCTTCCTTAGCAGAATTACTCTACAAATAATATCAGGTGATGAAAAACAGTGTGATAAGTGAAGGTGCTTGTGGAAAAGCTATGCACAGACTTGTTCACGGGCAGTTGTACTTGAAGGGTTCCCTGGCTCATGTGGTTTGCAGTGAGCTTTGGTATTTCTGAGGAATACCACAGGGAGGAGTGTTGATCCTTCGCAGGTTCTCTGACACCATCCCCACTTCTGGGACAGGGATAGACTTGGAATGGGCTGAGGAAGCAACAGCAACACTGTCCAGCCAAGGAAAAACTGCTCAGGGCTTATAAACCTTTGCTATGTCAGGTCCTACTTGACATAAACCCACATCTTTCTCTTATTTTTATTTATTTTATTTTTGGTACTTCAAAATTGTTCCCTGCTTATGTTGAATCCTTGTACCTTTCATTTTTAAGTTTTGAACTAAAAAGCACAAATAATAAAAGCAATTTCAGTCAGGTCAAGACATGCAAAATACTGTAATAAAGGGAGCCACAGTCTATATAAGCCAGCATTTTCTGCCCCACTAACCAAAGGTGTGCTTGGATAGTAACTCTTCTTATCATCAACTACCTGTTCTTTACAGTTGCATTTCCTCACTGAGAGTAATCCGTGAGTGCTGGAGCAGATACCTGCCGGCAGGCACCGTACTGCCCTGGACACAAAGGGCTTGGCTTTACGGAGACAACTCCAAAAGGCTGAAGTGATTTAATGAAAGGTGGACAGTATGCAAGCATTAAAAATACACATAGCTACTTTCCTTAGCAAGGGGACTACGTTCCTGATTGCACCACCCTCCTTAGATTATGAGAGAAACAATCCCTCATCACGTAAACATCTGGAACTCCCTTATTTTTCTCTGTCCAACCACAAGAGCTTCATGTTGATGTTGGAAATTCAAGGAAACATTTGGGCCTCTATGTGTTTCTTCACTTGGGTCTTCATACCTTTGGTCCGTAAACTGTCAGGTGATTCTCAACACCTTCCAGGGTTCAGTACTTTGCAGAATTAGACCCAGAAGCAAGTTTAAAATGGTATCTCTGCCAAGTTAAATTTCTGCCCTTAAGAGAGTGATTATTCATTGTGTCAATTTACCTGTCAAAAGTATGTGCTTGTGAAAAGCCCCTTCCACAGATAGCGCAACCAAAGTAGCTTCTAAAACAAAAGTACTTCCATCTGCTTATGAAACAGCACTGAACTATGCAGGCTGCTGGTCTGCATTGGACTGTTTCCTTGTGTACTTGCCATAAGTAAGCTATTCATCCGGTGTTTCTGATGGAGATGTGGTTATTGAGCCTTTGAACTGTGAATGCTTCACACTCATGCTCCCTTCGCATGCAACTGCATGCTATCCTTTAAACTTGCACTTTAAAGGGGTGTTTCAGAGTGTAATATTTAAGTCAGCTATTTGAGAAATTTGAAACTGTTCACATTGGAGTGCATAGTGGTCTTCAGGGAGTTAGTTTGAATACTGGGTCCAATGCTGCTGTGAGCATATCCCTAAAATGTGTACCTCCTGCTCACAGGTAGCTCTGCTCTGGGTAAGTGCAGGCACTCACCACCTCAGAGGTAACCCATACCCATTAACCAGAGTTTTCATATTTTAATGTGTAGAGTCACAGCTGAAAGTAGAACCTGCAGTATTAACACCTTAGCTCCTCCAGGACAAAGAGCTCATTTGGAGAGTGAGCAACATTAGAACAAGAAGTGGAAATTGAGAGTTGCCATGGATGCTGACTCACAACTGCCTGTAGGAACCCAGCACCTCCAAAAATAGTCAGATGTGGTTTTACAAGATGAAACGTGAAATATGCATTAGCTGTAAAGCTTCCACCCTCCCATCAGCTTTCGTTTGAGCTTACTTGTGGTTGAGACATGGGTCTCCAATTTCCTGGTCACACAGGGGGCCCGTCCAGCCTGGGTGACATTCACAAATCACACTTGTTTTCTCTAGGGACCGGCAAATACCGTGCTTGCAGATGTTACAGGATTTGCAGCCAGGAAGGACTCCTAGCGACTGCTGCGGTAAATCCTTGAAATCCTGCAGCTCGTTATTAATGCGGACATCGTGAATACATCCATGAAAACCATTTGGTGTCTTATCTGCACCCTGGCGCAGTGAAGATAATCCAGTAGAGGTCGGAATCCCTTCAGATAAAAACAAAAAGGGAAGGTTTACTCACAGTTACAATGATCGTACATAAATTATAATTGCTAACATTTCTTTTGTCACAGCCCCTTATAATCTTTAAAGAATTAATTTGCATAGGACCTTTGTAAGGTAGCACAGTCTCATTGTCCTCATTCTGGAAATAGAAAGAAACAAAAATAAAACCACTTGCCTAAGCTTACGTAAGAAGTATATGACAAAAAAAAAAAAGCCCAGGTTTTTTGGCTGATGGCCCCGTGTTCTTGTCCTTAGACAATGCTCCTTTTGTCTATAGTTTAATAGCAATTATCCTTCTGAAAGGCTTAAGAACCTACTTGCCAGCAGGTAGCTACCACCTCTGGGACACAAGAAGATAGTTAGGCATTACTAGATCACAGCGTTAAGACAGGGAGTGGTAAGAGTGCACCCCATTGAAACTAGTGCAGGAGAACTCTAGAGCCAGAGAACAGTACTTCAGGAGACCAGGCCAAGTCTTTGTGGCAAGTACCCTCCATCTTGTCCAAGCGCTTGGAGGAGTTCACATGCTCAGATGGCCAGCAGATTCTTTTGGATGTTGTGTCCTGCCCTCCCCACTGACATCCGCTTGGGCTGTATAGCTGCATTAGCATAGGCAAGTGTGTCCATTTTCAACTGCGTAAGGCCTCTGAATTTGCTATCCGTAAGTAACTCCACTGTTAAAGATGGTCTTAAAACAGCATCGTTGTTTAACTGTGCGTTAGGAGGAAAGTTACTAAACCAGGTGATATACTCGGAGAGATGGACAAGATTCTGGGCACATGAAGGCTCAGGTCTGCCTTAAAGCTTAGCATAGGTTAGGAACAATTGCTCTGGGGTAATTTAATCAATTACTTTAACTAAACAGTCCGAAGTGGAACGGCAGCTGGCATCCATGGGAACACTACATGCAGAGAGGTGGCACATGCAGAACAGTGAGGGTTTAGAAAGAAGCAAGAACTTTAAAGAGCAATAAAAAAAGTCTCCATTGAGCCCATGGCTTCTGGTATCCAATAGCCCTTCATTTTAGGTCTCAGATTTGTCCTGTGAATGCATTTCTGTAGGTACCTTTTGAGAATGCTCATCCATTAACAAAACTTTTCCACGTCATTACACCCCAAGTTCCCTTGCTGTGGGGCTGGTATCTTTTATGCTGTGCTAAAGGGAGAAATTGTGATGGCCTCACCAGCAGATTATCTTTGATGCATAATGCCCTTTAATAGCCTGTGACATTCCTAATAGGAGCCAATTATAAAAGTTCAGCTCTGTACAAAGCAAGATTAGCCAGTTTTCTGATTTGCAAGGGCAATATTCAGGGTTCTTTTAGAAAAGTGTTATTAAAAGGAATTATTTACAAAAGGCTTGACCAGCACCAAGTGAAATTGGTAAGAGTTTCTACTATTGGCTTCAATGAGCTGGTTAGGAAAAAACCAAAGTCTTTCTGAGTCTATTATTGTTCTGCTGACTTTTGTATTTAGAATAGGCTGTGTAGAAAATCCAAGAACTGTGTGTCACGGAAAGGGAGAGATTGCAACATTCAGTCCAGAATAGAGCTGGGGGCAGTTCTGGCAAAAACAGATCAATCGGGCAGAGCACAGCCTTCACTCTGTCTCTCATGTCCAGACACCTAATCAGTGGGATACTCATTATTCTGGGCATCTATTCCCCACCCCACTTGGCCCCTCCTTCCCCCCAAATTCAATACTGAATGTGAAAAAACTTCTTAACTGAAGTTTGGTCAATTCTAATATTTTTCTACTATTGAAGCTCTGGCTTCAGTTTCCAATGAGAAAACTTAGTCACGAAGTTCTTAGTCAGCTTTTGTGTTACTATGGTTTGGAGGTTTTAATCTTTTTTTCCCCAAAAAATTTTTAGACCTCTATAAAATTTCCAGCAGAAATACAACTCATTTATGGTATATTTAAGCCTACTGACTATTGATTTGCTTTTTTGCGGTGACTGTTTGTGAAACTTCCATTGTATTCTTCAACCACGACATCTTGGTGCCAGCCAGTTCTGAAAGCTTTAGAAGTGACAAGCTGATTACTCTTGCCATGGCCGTATAACACAGGAACTGCCTGTGCTGTGCTGAGGTTAACTTCCCTGGTCTGGCGTGCGAGAGTGTGCTGGCCGTGCAGTGGGGTGCTAGTGGACTATGGACTATGAAGCAGAAGAGCAGAGGTGTGGTTTCCAGGCTCTCTATTCCGGGAAGCAACCTCTGGCAGAGGGGAAAGGCATACTGCTCGTTTTTTCCCCTCCGGAGAGTCCTCTCCATAGGGTGGAAGATGATTTGCTTCTGAGAAGACTTGTTAAAATTTCAAAGTCCATAGCAACTCACTATACCTCCAATGTAGAGGGGTGTGTTGAGGCTGACAGAAGACTGTTTCTGGAGTTTTCCTAGACTCTTGGGAGTCCCCTTGTCCACCACCAGGTTCAGAGTTTGATTCAGCATCACGAGTTCCACACTATGAAACTGCCCATCATTCACTGTTTCCACACTAAAAGTAAAAGAAAAAAAGAGAATTAGAAGATGACATTAACAATGAACTGCCTCTGCTTCGGTGACATCCTATCTCCCAGTATTACACCTTGCCAGGCACAGCTCCCATTCCATGCTCCTTTACGGTCACCGCGTTCTCGACATTTCTTCTAGCGTGAACCTCCAAGGTACAAATTTAAACATTGCTGATGCCTGTGCAGGCAGTATCTGCACACACATAACGCTTGAAAGGACAGCTAATCAGGACAGTAGCTACTGTAGTTGTGTTTCCCCAGGCAGAAAAGCAAGGGTGTAGCTACATGATATATTGGCTTTGGTGGCAAAATTACTTAAAATCTTCTGTTCTGTGCTCTCAGCCACAGCTTGCTGACCCTCTGTCACACTGCTTGGTGCCCATGTTGCAAGCCAGATCACTGAAATGATTTCTTTTTGTATGGTTAGTTTAAACTCAAATTATTTCAGAGGGGCAGGGAGGGACTGCAGTTTGGGGCAAGCAGGGGCCTCTGAAACCAGCATTTCCTCACAGCAGAAGTATCTTGTAACTACATGCTGAGGCAAAGGACAGGCTGAGTTCCTTAAAGCCAGAGAAGGAATTCAGGAGTTTTTGGCTTATAAATGCCTGGGGTACTTTGTTCAGTACGATACGGTCCTACCTGAACATAAGGAAAACTGACAATTGACACTCCTCTTTGAGAAACATTTAGGTGTAGATTGGGGCTTGAGAATAAGCAGGAATTTTTGGGGGGACAGGGAGCAGGTAGCCATCTGAGCAGACAAGATATTAAAGGCACCATGTATTTATTGCTCAGGTGTGTTTAACACTGATTTTTCAAATGCATGAAGCCTGCAGTGAGTCAGATAACTCAGCAGCTCTTTGCTAGTCTGCACCACAATACAGTCTTCACCTTCATCTTCAGTTCGGTCTCCCAGAAATTAAAAGATACAGTGGTACAATTCAATTTGCATCACACTGTCATTTTTTATTTTCAGGGCAGCTTCAGCTCTCAAGCCATTATGCTGCATGCTGAAATTCTCTAAAACAACTCGATAGCTTCATGCACTCCAAAAAGCAAGAAGGGGCAAGGGTGGGATTACCTGCTCTTGAGCAAAGAGGGTTTCAGATTAGGCTGGTAGTTACAGACATGATGGGACATTTCCACTGCTGTAGATGTAATTAAATGGTGCAGCCTCTGTTCCATAAGCATGCAAACACCAGCGCATAATGAGAATCTAATAGCAGTAGCGGTTACAGCTGAAATTAGACTGTAGGCTATGTAAACTGCCCACATGCACAGTGTTGCCAACACATCTTAAGCTTGGCCTGAGAGCACCCTTTTCCAAATTCCTCCCGGCAGGCTCGTTAGCTGGGTGGTGGTTCTGTTACATAAGGATAAAGACAGAAATTGCCAGCTGTGGGATTTAGGTATCCTAAGATACTGCTTAGCCAACAATCTGGATTTGGGATTGCTGCACAAGTGCTAAATACCGCATTAAAATGTAAAAGGTTAGTTTTAAGAATGGGTTGTTGCTCATTCAAATGGCCCATAAGCTCAGCATCCTCAATCAGTAAGTTATAAAGTCACAGGTCAGATTCCTTTCAGGTGTTTTGTAAAGCTGCCATGTAGATGTCTCTGAGCTATCTACCCAGATTTTCTCTACTATCAGTGGAGAGGAACAGGCACACTTAAGGAGTGACTCATCTCTGAGCATGAATCACCTTTTAGATGTGTCCGCCTCTCAACCTAGATGACATGCTGCCCATCTTTAGCACCCAGTCCTGCATAACTGATTTGTAAGGGCATTGTAGCATGGAAATAGGACCTCAACTTCAGAAACAAATTACATGACTTGGGAATTACCAAATTACCGGAATTCAGTTATTCCTGGAAGAAGTTTCATTTTCATAGTGTTTTACAGTAGACCTGACATAACCAATTATACATGAGCAATGTCAGGCAGAAAGTCAGCACTGCAGGCATTTCTGAGGACGTGCTTGTTTAAGAAGAGCGCACCACTGCTTCAGAACTGAGCTAACGTGCCTCTACAGTGCTGCTGTCCCCACAGGTTTTTGGGATGAATCACGAACACATATGCCTTTAAAAGTTTACGTAAGGTTACATAGGTTGTAAGATGACAGCAGTATTTGAGCATCTTTACTGCGTGGCTTTACATAAACACGAGGTAAGTTAGTTCTGCCACAGAACAGCTCCTGGGGAAGCTCTGCTAGCTGAACTGCTCATCCTTGACCTGCAGGAAAATGGCTGGGCTGCGGTTGCTGCCCATCCTCGGGATGGCGAGAGCACCCTGGGGAGCGAGGTCTCAAGAACCTGGAGCTGATGGTACTGTCTGAAGTGTTTTTAAGAAAAAAAATAAAGGCTTGACATTGTACAAAAATCCAGATCCAGTTGATCCAGTAGACAGTCTGGCTCAAAATACAGTTATATCAGGGCCACTGCAAGGGCAGTGAGTTGCGTGGGCCGGGATAAGAGGCTGAGGACTTACGCCAGACTCATTGCCAAAGGTGATGTGTGTGCCTGCACCTCAGAAAAGCCAGCCTATCATCGCTGTACCGGAGTCCCCTGTACTGGGGCCCACACCTCTAGCAGACTACTTTATGGATTGACAACTCAAAATAGGTTTGAAAACAGCTGGTCCAAACTTTCTGTTTAGATATTCTTGAATTCTGCTAAGTATCTGCCACATTACAAGAAACAGCTGTGTTACGGCAATGTGCCGACTGGGTGATCCCTATGTGCTCCCTGCATATCTAACTGTTATGTTGCAATGCTTAATTCATATGGGTAAAGTACTTAGACTTCCAGCTGAAAGGTGCAAGATAAATGGTAATGCATATTTGTAATTGTTAGTCTATGCAGAAGTGCCAATGAAAGGAAGAAGTATAGCCAAAACCCACCGGCTCTGACAGCTGAGCATTGAGGAGGTGGGATGGATGGCTGTACGACAGGGAACCCTTCCCTGGTGGGATCAATATCTGAAGCTAATGCACAAAACTACATCGTTATCTGAAGAAGGCCAAGCTACAACCATTTGTCAGAGGACAACATTATCACGTCTGGCAGGGCTGGCTCTTCCCTGGGCCAGGATTTCACAGGCATTAATCACCTACTCCTCCACAGCATGTGCTTTTTCCAGATTATGCCTTGACTAACAGGCAAACAAAAGTCTGTGTGTCCTGGCGATGGAAGCAGCCACCCCACGTGGTGCACACGCCTTTCAGCATACCCAGGGCTGGTATTTTTGCTGGAAAGGGAGTGTGAGGTCCCTGTCGGTAGGTACACGTGGATGAATAATATTACTCAGTTCTGACTGGTTCACTTTTTAACTCTGAATTTAAATAATCTGTGCCTGGACTTTGAGAAACAAAGTAACTTACAGCCATCACCCAACACTGCAGTTCTGTAAAGCAGATAAAGTCAAAACAGGCAAAGCACTCATTTGCTTTTTGAGGAGATGCAAACACATGATAGAAAAGCTGAATGTGGACAGCCAGGATAGCAGAAAATCCCCAGCCAGGAGATGCTTGTGTTAAAGCACTTAGTGCTGTTGCTGACAGAAAGACGTTAAGATGCCTTTGGATTTTGAGAGAGATGGACAACATTGGGGGAGAAACCAGCGGTGAGAGAAATGCTACATGAACTCTCCTCAGAGCCTCTTACGTATCTGGGCCTTTAGGAGACTCAGCAATCGTCTGAGACGGTTGGAGACAGTGGCTTGGCTGGAGATGAAGGGAGGAAAGCCACAGACGCTGAACAGTGCATCACAACGCAGCTCGCAGCACAAACTTGCTGTGCTCGGCTTTTTTTCAAGGGGCCTCTTCCTGACCCAGCTCTCTGCAAGGGTTTTATTAAAATCTTAATTGAATTCTTATTGGGGATCAGGTGGTCTTTTCCTCCTGAAACAGCCCGCGGTATGCAAGTACCTGCCTCGGAGGCAGGGACTTGCTATTTCATCAG